TGGTGGGAGCTAAAAATAAATAAATAAATTCACACACACACACACACACACACACAAAAACAGGAGGGGGGCGGGAAGTAGACTTAACAACTACAATTCCTTGAAGTTGATACGACAAGTAAACAAAAAGGACATTGTTGGGTGGGAGTGGGAAGAGGGAGGAGGGAGGGGGTTTCGGTAATGGGCCACGATCATCAACCTCATTGTATATCGACAAAATTAAGAGAAAAAAAAAAGAAATAAATAAAAATAAAATAAAAATTTATTTCTTACAGTTTTGGAGGCTGGGAAGTCCAAGGTCCAGGGAACAGATCTGGTGAGGGCCTTCTTTGTGGTAGGGACTCTGCAGAGTCCCATGTTAATGCATGGTTTCACGTAATGAGAGTGCTCTTTAATGTGCACACTTGCTCTCCTTAAAAAGCTACCAGTCCACACCCATGATAACCCATTTAATCATTAAGCTTTTACTTCATGAATGGATTAATCCATTCATGAGAACATAGTTCTAACTTTCTAATCTCCTTTTAAGGTCCAGTCTCTCAATATTGCTACATTGGGGATCAAGCTTTCAACATGAGCTTTGGAGGGGACAAATATTCAACCCAAAGCCATTGCGGACATCCTGCATTCAAATTTTTAAATTTGAGAATAAAAATGGACACAATTCATAAAGAATAAAAAACTTAACAATATAATAATTGTAATGTGTTTTATAGTGCCTCCAACACCACCTTTTTTTGCTTACTCTCAGCTAGTGACTTTGCTTCCCATTTCATTAAAACAATAGGAATATTAGGAAGAGAGTTTTCACTAACTTTTTTTTTTTTTTTTTTTGTCTTTTTCGTGACCGGTAAGGGGATTGCAACCCTTGGTGTGGTGTCACCCGCACCGTGCCCAGCCAGTGAGCACACCGGTCATTCCTATATAGGATCTGAACCCACGGCGGGAGCGCGCTGCGCTCCCAGTGCCGCACTCTCCCAAATGCACCACGGGGCCGGTCCTGAGAGTTTTCACTAACTTCTACACCATATCTACGTCTTTTCCTGTGCCTATGTATTCTTCCTTCCTTACATTTCTATAGATGAACTGTTTGTGCTGCTATCTAAATCCAGTCTACTTGTACACCAAATTCTGGTCTGTCTTGCTATTTGAAAACAATGCCCCTCATTCTCCTGCATCATCAATGTTTCCCTTTCTACTGGATCATTTTTGTCATATTATCATGCTGTAATTTCTCTCCTCTTTAAAAACTTGACTCTTAACCTCATTTTCCTCTCCAGCTTCTCATTTCTCTGCATCCCTTCACAGTGAAGCTGCTCCAAAGAGTTGTCCACACCTACGGAAGTTCTTCTAACTCTTGAATTAATTTCAGTCAGATTTTGATCTCTACCACTCTATTGCTTTGGTCAGAGTCACCTGTAATGTTGCTAAATCCCAAAGTCAGTTCCTAGTTTTCATTGTACTTAACAATAACATTTGACAAAGTTGGTCCATCTTCCTCCTTGATACACTTTAGCACCCAGGACAGTATGCTCCTAATCCTCTAACACTCCTTTTCAATTTCCTTTGCAAGTTTTTTTCATCTTCCTGTTGTTGAATTGTCCAGTGGCTCAGTCTTGGGACCTGGTCTCTATACCTATTCTCTTCATGATTTTATCCAAGCTTTACATATAATCCATATGCTGAATATTTCCAAACATATCTCCAGCCTGCACTTCTCACCTGATCAGACTTTTACTTCGCTGTCTCCTGGATATCTCTACCTATCTAAAACCTAACTCCTGATTTTCAACCCCTATTGTGCACTTTCCAAATCTCAGTAAAGGGCAACTCTATTGTTTTTGGCTTAGTCTAAAAGCTTTGGAATTGTCTTTGGAATTGTGTTTGTTCTCTGATACCCCACATCTAGTTCATCTGTAAATCAGGTTGGCTCTACCTTCATAATTCATATCTAGAATTTGACCACTTCTTACTACTTCACCAGCTACCAACTTGCTTTCATCATCTCTAGATTATTTCACTAGCCTCCTACAGTTTCCCCTGCTTTCTCCCTAAACCCTTCCCTACTCAGAACCTTCCTGAGAGTACTAGCCACAGTCCTTTTAATAGCCTGGAAGACACTACATGAAACTACATGTTAACCACTCGCTGCCCCTTTAGATTGCCTTTTTAACCTCATCTACTTTGCCTCTGGTTCGTTTCACATGAACTACTTTGTTCTTACTGCTCTTGCTCAAATATGCCAGGTATATCCCTGTCTTAGGATTTTGTGCTTGTTCTTCCCTGATTCTCTCCATTCTGTTTTTCACACACAGATAGTAATGTGGCTCTATCCCTTATTTATTTCAGGTATTTTATTCAAATGTTATTTTTTTCAATGAAATTCTCCCTGACCATTCTATTTAAAATTCTAACTACCATCCACTTTCCTTCTTCCCATGTTCTCTATTTCTCTTTCCTGCGTATTAGTATTTTTACTACTTATTACCCTTTCATATACTGTATATTATTTGTTGATCTATTTTCCTTTTAGTAGAATGTTAACTCTATCAGTACAGGATTCTGGCCCTTTTATGGCTATGCAGAACATTCTAGAACAGTGCTGACATATAATGCTGAATGAATGAATGAATAGTAAAGACTTGTGGAAGGCAATAGTTGAAATGACATATTCATAGGTATGATATGAACTGGGTTTTGAAGAACAGGTGAAGATTTTTAGATTTGGTAGTAGGGAGAAGAAGTGCTTTAAATTGAACTTAAGAAAGTGGTTCCGTTGGTTGTCTGATTTAGAACCCATAGTAGCTTCTTCTGATTTTGCCTTGAGGACTGATCTTTTCCTGTTGTTTTTTGCCATTTCAACTACACTTCAACCACAGTAGTCTTTATTATTCATTCACTCATTTATTTAGCATCAATTGTATATCATCACTGTTCTATTGAGTTTAAATTTTGATTGTTTTTTTAACTTGTAGAAGTCCTAATTCAGATCTGCCTAGTCACTTTTGATAGTTTTTCTTTTTGGCTCCTTTAAAAAATTCCCTCATTTCTTTATGTATGTATGTTGTAATCTGTATCTGTTAGTTCCAGTATCGGATCTAATTCTTTAGCTTTTTCTGCTACCTCTTTTTTTTTTTTCTTTTTGTCTTTTTTTTTTAAATTTTGATTGTTTTTTTAACTTGTAGAAGTCCTAATTCAGATCTGCCTAGTCACTTTTGATAGTTTTTCTTTTTGGCTCCTTTAAAAAATTCCCTCATTTCTTTATGTATGTATGTTGTAATCTGTATCTGTTAGTTCCAGTATCGGATCTAATTCTTTAGCTTTTTCTGCTACCTCTTTTTTTTTTTTCCTTTTTGTCTTTTTTTCGTGACCGGCAACGGATCGCAACCCTCAGTGTCGCGCCTGTACCGGACCGGGACTGGCAACGGGATCGCAACCCTCAGTGTTGCACCCGCACCTCGCTCAGCCAGTGAGCAGCCGGTCTGTATGTGGGATCCGAACCCTCGGCGGGAGCGCCGCCGCGCTCCCAAGCGGCACACTGTAGCAGTGCGCCACCGGGCCGGCCCCTTTCCGCTACCTCTTGATCATGGTGACTTATCACATGTTCTTTCATTTTGGATATGGACACATACCTGGATAACAATCTTTGAGAATCTTGAGGAGTATTCTACCAAAGAGGGTATGCATTTGCTTCTGCCACATATACTCTGGGCACCACCAACTTGGGACCACTTAAATTTTTTGGCTTGGCATTTTCAAGATTATGCAAGTAGTTTGGATCCTTAAAAGCCAGGTAAGAAGAAACCCATGGTACCAGTTTTTAGGGAAGACCCCAAGTGAAGGTAGAATCAGGACAAAAGCTAATACTCTTGACTTCCATTTTTATGCTTCACTGTATTGCTGTTCACCATTCTTAATTTGCTTTTGCTTAGGATATAACCGGAATATAACAGTCATTCTTGTTTGAAGGTTAGCAACTATGCAGTGCCTAATCTTTTATTTCAGCAGGAGTTGTTCACAAAATGTTGTAATTCTGTTGTGGAACAGAAATCTGATTAAATAGATTAGATGATACTTGGCCACCAATAACAGACTTTTTTTTTTTTTTTTTTTTTTTTTGGGCAACTCACTGGTACAGGGATCTAACTCTTGACCTTGGTGTTATAACACCACACTCTAACAATAATGCACTTTTTAATCACTGTAGAGTACTTACCATAAACCATTTTTCTTAAAAAAAAAAAAAAAGGTGTTCATTTAAAAAAGAGCAACATAAGATGTTATTGTGAATTTAAAGGAAGGGGAGATATGGTATGAATAGTGGCATGTTTGGAATGCAAAGTTAGACTAAGTGTGGTGAGATTACAGATAGGTTTTTTTTTTTTTACTTATGAGCACTATTTTTACAAAGAATCTGTAATAATAGCTTTCAGCTTAGGCCTCACAGATACTCTTAGTAATATTTTAATGTATTATATGTTGAATAAAGCTCTTTCTTATAGGCTGTTCTGGGAACATTATGTTTTTAAAGTTGTATTCATTGAGTTGTCCAGACATTGTTGACTTATACAGGAACTTTATGAAATTATGTAGTCTTTGGTTAAAAACTACTTTTCCTGGTTCGATTCTTCCCCTCCCCCAAATGTGCCTGCTTGCTTGTATGTTGTTTGGTATACAAAGTGGAAAAAGATTAACTTTCAGTTTGTATTAGATTTCAGTCTTGCATTTTGATTTGTTAAATTTTTCCTAATGGTTCTTTTGAGTCACCCCGAGTAATAGAATTTTATCAATTGAAGAACAGAAAAATTTACAAAATTAGGGTTTTTTTGTGTCATTTGTTTTAAATGCTCTTTTAGTTTAAGGAAATTAATAGCTGAATCAAGAGCCACTGAAATACTATAGTAGTAAGAAAATAGAATTCAAAATTCTTGTTTTAATTTGGAAGAAATTTAAAAAGTTGAACAGTTAACTGTACATTAAAAATATTTGTAATCTCATTCCCTTCAAAAAAAAAGTAACAGTTCTCAATTTTTTTTTGTATATTCTCAGACTGTGTGCTTGTATATAATTGTTGTGTTCAACATAAATAACTTTTAGCTTTTTTGTTATGTGATATATTTTGCAGCATTACACAATTTTAATTATTTTAAATGGTTGTTGGATGTTTCTGTAGATGTTCCACACTGAAATCATTTCATTGTTTTACCATTATAAACATTGTGGTTTATCTTTCTGTATAAAGTTTTATCCTTTTTGGTTAGGCACTTTGATTGAAATTCTAATAATTGTCTCTAGATTTTTATATTATTTAAAATTTTAGGTTTCACATGTTTGTTATATTAATATAAACAGGTCGTCGTGCCTTCTGAGAAATTTACAAAATTTAAGTGTGATGTAGCTCAATTTTTCTATGAACAAATGTAAGTTATAGGACGGCAAGTAAATAGATTATTAAAGCTATTTGATTAGCATTCATAATATGTACTCTGAAACATAGAACTTATATACTATTTCTCCATACTGTTAACTTATTATAATTATTATTTTTGGAGTTCTTTAGGGATGAAAGGGCAGGGATGAAAACTCTCATTCTAGAGTTTAACCACGTTTGAAACCTGGGATCCATGTATACCCTTCAGGGAGTTCAGAACCTTCTAAGATTATATATAAACCTTAGTGAGTATGTATACTATTTTTGTATTTGGAAAAGAGAGTTAGTATCTTTCATCAATTTCTTGAAGGATTTACATTCAAGTAAAAGATAAAAAGACACTGATATGGAATGTGGTTTGAGACTAATTTGGGCTTTCTTTCTTTTTTTTTTTAATGATCCTATGGATATTTCACTCCTGGTTCACTTGACAGAAAAAATTTATTTACCACCACTGACTATTTATTGCATTCAGATTGAAATCTATTAAGATTTAGGTGTGATTAGGTTAAAACGTAACTAATATTACAAGTGGCCTGTGATAATATGGGAGAAATTATTAACATTGGTGACTTTGGCTTACTCTCATCTCAAAACCTGAGCCTATACTCTTCTCCATGTGTATCAGTTCAGCAAACATATATAGGGCATACTGTTGATTTAGAAAATTTTAATGACCTGGTTCCTGTCACCTAGACGTAAATTAACTTTGTCTCAACCTCTCCTTCCCCTGCCTTTTATTTTTCCATTGTACCTTCCACCATTGCCCCCTTTTAAATCTCTTCCCCTAGTTCCCCTCAATTTCATTCCTAGTCCCCTTTGCCTCCTTTTTCTTCCTCGTGTAACTGATGCGTATGTATAATGTGAACCTAAGGTATGTTAATTGATATTGTAGTTTTTATTCATTAAGCACTCACTTATTTTGCCAATTTTTAGAAATAAACAAGGAATTGAACATCTTATGAATTTCTCTTAAAGTTTAAAATATTAAGGCAAATGAGACTGTACCCATGATTTTGTTACAACTCTTTATAATTCCTCTTTAGTTATTGAACTTATTATATAAGTGTTTTGGTCATAGAAGTAAAATCACGATTTTGACTTTTTAGCAGCATTAACTGAATTTTAAAAAGCTCTTAGTATTTATAGTTTTTTTTTGTTTTTTGTTTTTTGTTTTTGTCCTTTTTGAGACTGGTAGCACCGCGCTCAGCCAGTGAACGCTGGGAGCGTACCAGTCGTCCCTATATAGGATCCGAACCTGCCGCGGGAGCGCTGCTGCACTCCCAGCGCCGCACTCTCTCTAGTGCGCCACAGGCTCGGCCCTAGTTTTTAAAATTTAATTAAAAAAATTAAAAAAAGGTTTTTGGGGCAGCTGGCTGGTGAAGAGATCTGAACCCTTAATCTTGGAGTTATATAGTTCCATGTTCTAACCAACTGAGCTAACTGGTCAGCCCTTAGCATTTATACTTTTAATAGCTATATTTTGAATTGACATTTGCTAATTTAACTCATTCAGATGTTGGTCTTTTATGTCTCCAGTTTTTATGTAATGTTGCTATGACTATCTTTATATTTGCTATTTCTTTCAAATTTCTTGGGATAAAGAATTAGGATTATTTGGTTAAAGGAGTACAAACATTTTCTTGATTCTTAATGTCTTGGTGTTCCGGGTAGGCTCCTCTAGATTCAGAATGAGACTCTGGTGAACTCAAGGATGGGTAATTGAATTGTGTGAAGGGAATCTCATGAAAATCCAAAGACAGGAAGCATGATTCCTCCAGGCTGGTGTGGGACCTGGAAAAGGAAACTAGAAAATCACCAGAACGTTTGAGGAACCAGTGTTTCAGTGTTCTTGCAGTCTCATGGCCTCTCTTCTTCCTGAACATTTGCTGCTTTTGCTTTCTGTACAGGTGGACTTGTCTGCTTGATTACAGATTCTGCTTTCCTAACCCAGGCTTTCATGGACTGCAGCTTGCTGTTCATTACTTCTTTTTGTCTCTGACTTGTCCTTGACCTCTTTTTTCAGCTTTTGTGGCTGCTGCTAAGCACCTTAGCCTCTCTTCTTCCCCAAAGCAAAAATTTGAAGTGTTCCAACTCATTGTTTTGTCCTTTTTCTCCCCCAATTCCCCAGTCAAATTGAACAGGCTTGTATATCCTATGGATGCTATGCTTTAAAAAAACAAAGCAAAAAATCTATGTTCTTTAAAAGCCTTCCTGGTTGACCAGTTTAACACTTAAGCAGACACAGTAAAATATATCTAGATAGTCCTTGTTAACATGAATTATCAGGGAGGGACAATTATATATAAAGTTTCTTGTAGTATTTTGTTAGCACATGATTCCTTTTCCCCTTCACCTTGTTAAAAACCTTATCTTAGTAAGTCAAGGGTTGTGTTAATGCTGTTTAAAAAATTGTTTATGTAAGTGTGAAATGTTAAATGATTTTTCAGTCCTGAAGATTAATAGTGTACCTGTTGAAAAAACTACTTTGTTCTCAGGTTTTATTTCTGGGTATTTTCAGACTTGGGTCATTGCTGGTATAACTTGAATCAAGTATGATTTGCATTTTAAAATGGGAGATATATATAAATTGAAAGACAGTTAAATTTAATAAACTCAAGTTGATTATGTTAACACTGTGAGTCTTTAAAAAAAAATTCCTATTCTCTTTCTCTTGGCAATTAACACAGTCAAGTGTGAATAGCTTTATTTTGTCATGTGAAATTTATGAGTTCTGTTAAAATGGGTCTGGTGAAGTCTTTTATTCAATAAACTCAGATTTATAACTTGAAATCAGATGTTTTCTAAGGTCTAAAATAATTCTTACAATAAAGATTCACCTGTTTAGGTGGAGTTTGCTTTCTTTGGGTCAATAATTTAAAAACTTCAAAAATTCAGATTTATTTGTACGTTAAAAGGGCAAAAAGTTAACTTTAATTTGCTTTCTTTTAAGCTTGTCCCGGGGTTTAATTACAATTGCATTATACACGTTGCCTTTTTCCACAACAGATTTGAGATGACATAAAAATACATACCACTTTTATGTAGATTATATGTGTTTATAGAAGCATCAGTATCTAGAATCTAAATATCAGAATCATTTTTACTTTGAGATTTAATTTTAGCAGAAACTACCCATTAGGTGAAGGATTTAATATCTGTATTCAAGGCAGATCTGAATAGTCAGATCACCCATTATTTTTTCCCCTGTAGCTATTGGGTTAATCCGAAAGTAGGGCTGATGTTGTATTGATGAGGCAAGGCTTTCTTTTCTTTTTTTTTTTTTTTTAAAGCATTTGGGTAGGATTGCTTTTGCAGTGCAACTTGTTTCATGCAGTAAGGAATGGCTTGAAAAAAATAGAGAAAAGCATCTAATTTATAATTTATTTCAATGACAAATGCCACATCCTAACATTTTGATTGTGACTTTATTGTGTTTCCATATCCTTGATATATTCCACTGGATCATGAGGCTATAAGTCACTAGAATAAAGATGCTAACAGTTTGTGAATGATCTTAAATCTTTAAATGAAGAAATGAGCCACCTTTTTATTTTTGTCTGTTTTTTTGCCATTGAGAGTATGGTACTTTCAGTGAATATCAATGTGTTGGTTAATACCTCTTTATTTTCACATATAGTACAGGTTGAATATCCCTTATCCAAAATGCTCGGGACCAGATGTTTCAGATTTTGGATTTTCAGATTAGGGATGATTAAAACCTGTAATATTCACCAACATAACAATAAAAGGAAAAAACTAAATACTAATAAAGTATCAAAAGTGGATATTCGGGGGAAAAAGTAGTGAACATATAAATTTTTCCTTCCGTTAGGATGTTTTCACATGATTTAAAAATGGAAGGATGTTATACACTTTTTAGTGAACTCTCACTTTTGTTTCATTGTATATTTGAATTGTAGTTGGCAAAATAATCTAGTATGAGATTTAAACAGCTAACCTGTTTTAATTTGTAGATCAGGTTAGATCTGAAGTGCCACTTGGAAGAGCAGGGGTTTTGTGAATTTAATTTTTATAAGACCAACTGAGGTCTCTCTCTTTTTTTTCTCTGCTCTCTCCCCATTTAGGTTTTATAGGATCACATAAACAAAAGCACCATGGAGTTTTATGAGTCAACATATTTTATTGTCCTTATTCCTTCAGTAGTTATTACAGTAATTTTCCTTTTCTTCTGGCTTTTCATGAAAGAAACATTATATGATGAAGTTCTTGCAAAACAGAAAAGAGAACAAAAGCTTATTCCTACCAAACCAGATAAAAAGAAGGCAGAAAAGAAAAAGAATAAAAAGAAAGAAATCCAGAATGGGAACCTCCATGAATCGGATTCTGAGAGTATATCTCGAGACTTTAAATTATCTGATGCTTTGGCTGTAGGAGATGAACAAGTTGTACCTGTTCCATTGAATGTGGTTGAAACAAGTAGTGTTCGGGAAAGAAAGAAGAAGGAAAAGAAACAAAAACCTGTATTTGAAGAGCAGATCATCAAAGAAAGTGATGTATCAAAGATTCCTGGCAAAAAAGTAGAACCTGTCCCAGTTACTAAACAGCCCACCATACCCTCTGAAGCAGCTGGCTCAAAGAAGAAACCAGGGCAGAAGAAGTCTAAAAATGGAAGCGGTATTGTAATCTATTTAACTTTATTGCATGATTGTATTTGTCTTAATAACTTTAGATCTTTTAAATTCATATACTTTGTTAGGTGTGCATACAGAATGTTAAATACTGAGTCTGAGACCAAGGTTGTTATTCTTTTCGCTGTCTGTTTTCATTAACATTAATTGCTGGTAGAAATAAGTATTGATCACAAAACAATTTAAATTCTTACAAATATGGAAATATGGAAGAGACCTTTAGTGGAAATTTATAAAATCTAACTTTGGTTGTTTTACTAAAACCACTAAGCACCTGTAAATATCAGTAGTTGGGAACTTCTGCATGTATTTCAACCAACACTTTCTAATCAGTGTGATAAGAAAAATGAAAAGATAAATTAGATATTGTTTCTTACCCTTGATCGATTCAGTTTGCAAACATTATCATACATTTGTTTTATATAAGGCATTATACTCAGCGTTAGGACTACAGGGATGAATAGTGCATTTTCAATGTAGTCACATGGTACCTATAGACAAACATAACTAAGTCGTTAATAAAAAGTTTAGTATAATCTAGGTATGTCTAAACCAGTGTGGGAATTCTAAGGTAGGTCACTTAGAGTATGTAATGCCAGAAATTAATTCTAAAATTTCAATAAGTGGTAGCTAAGTCTTTTGGAAGGATAGGGAGAGGTGGGATAAGGGTATTCAAGGGACAGGAGTCAATAGTACAAAGGAAAGGACTTGTGAAATGGTGTGGTCATGTGTGGAACTACATACAGTTGGCTTTGTATGAAAGGACTTGTGTGTACCATTAAGTCGTTTATGTATTTTAACTTGTGGAGTGTTAAATTGGTTATACTGGATTTTATTTTATTTTATTTTTTTATTTTGGTGGCTTGCTGGTTATGGAGATCTGAACCCCTTACCTTGGTGTTATTCAGCACCACGTTATATTGGATTTTAAATATTTGCTCGCCAGCTATGATCAAGGCATGGTACTAGAGAAATGTTTATTTTGGTGGCTTGCTGGTTATGGAGATCTGAACCCCTTACCTTGGTGTTATTCAGCACCATGTTATATTGGATTTTAAATATTTGCTCGCCAGCTATGATCAAGGCATGGTACTAGAGAAATGAGTAAGCACCACACGTTTTAGTGGGGGAGAAGGACATGTAAGCCAGTAACAGAATATGATTTATGTAGGTGATATACAAAGTATAGAAGAAATACAGAAGCCAAAACAACTATTTTGCCTCTGTGGGGTATGGGGTGAAAGGCTTTACAGAGGAGTCAGTGCAAGACTGAATCACTTCACCAAGCATATAGTGGGGTCTCATTCCATATCGGCACAATATCATGTGTAAAGACACAGGGGTACAGGAGTATAGTGTATGGTTGAGCCATGAAATAGGTAGGGAGTGGTAGGGAACAAAGCTGAAAAGATACCAGTGGCTAGATCACGATGGTTTTTGTATACAGAGCTGAGGGACTTCTTAGTCTAGCCATCATTGACGATTTTCAAGCAGGTTAGTTAACATGGTCAGATTTATATTTTAGAAAGTTTTTTGGGCAGAACTTGTAAGGACAGATTTTATGGGGCAGTATTGATGTAGGCAGACTAGTTAAGAGGTCATTGTAGTTTTCCAAAGTTAGGATGTAGGCCTGAACCTATGGTAGTGACAGAAGAAATAGAAAGTAGAGAGGTATACAAAATAATAATGACATGACCAACCTCATTATGTAGGGGTATGGCAGATAAAGGAGAAGACAGAGTCAAAGCTGATCTCCTAAGAGCCAAACCTGGCCTGCTTCCTGGTTTTCTTTTCTTTTCTTTTTTTTTTTTTTACAGCCCATGAGCCAAGAATAGTTTTTACATTTTAAATGATTGGGGAAAAAATCAAAAGAAGAATATTTTGCCAAATTGAGTCAAAACTTAATGTCCATAAAGTGTTTTTGAATGCAGCCACACTCATTTACTTACATGTGTCTGGCTTTCTAGTCTTAACGGCAGATTTGAATAGTTGTGATAGAGTCCATATGGCCTGTGAAGCCTAAAGTTTTTACATTTGGGCCTTTTGCAGAAAAAGTTTGCCAACCTCTGATTTGCAGATGGTTGTTAGCACCAAGATAAGGAATATTGGACAGAGACTGGGTATGTATGGAGAGAAAACCTGCAGTTTGGGCCTTCTACATAGAGAGCAACTCAGGTTGCAGTAGGATGTGTAAGTGTAGAGGAGAAAGACTAGAATATACATTCAGAAACCTTAAGCTTGAGGATAGTAGTTGAAGTCATGGGTGTAGATAAGATCATCCAAGGGAAATATTTAAATTGAAGACATTACCCTGAGGAATACCAACATATAAGGTACTCAGTAGAAGCAGTTCACAAAGGAGACTGACTGCAGAGAAATATTACAAGTGTAAGAAGAGAATTATAATGGGAACTGAAAGGGGAGAATTTTTTATTTCATTTTTTTATTGTGGTAAAATACACAGAGCATGAAACTTATGATTTTAACCATTTTTAAGTGTACAGTTCTGTGGTGTTAAGAACATTCACATTCTTGTGTAATCTTCACCACCAGCCACCTCCAGAACTCTTTCATCTTCCCCAACTGAAACTATCTCTACCCATTAAACAATTCTCCCCTCCCCCAGCTATTGGTGAACAGTATTCTACTTTCTTTCTTTCTGAATTCAAGTACTCTAAGAGCCTCACATAAATGGAATCATATAATATTTGTCCTTCTGTGACTGTCTTATTTCACGTAGCATAACAGAGAAGGGGGAATTTTAAGACTGAGGTAGAGAGCAACAGTATGAAATGCTAGAGTAGTCATATAAGGATTAATGCATATTATTCGTGGAATATGGCATTTGAAACGCTTGGGACCTGAGTTAATCCCTTCATGGAGTGGAAGAGAGAAAAATCAGGTTGTAATTAAGAAATGATTGTAGGGCCGGCCCGGTGGCGCACTGCTACAGTGCGCCGCTTGGGAGTGCGGTGGCGCTCCCGCCGAGGGTTCGGATCCCACATACAGACTGGTTCCCGCTCACTGGCTGAGCGAGGTGTGGGGGCAACACCGAGGGTTGCGATCCCGTTGCCGGTCCCGGTCCGGTACGGGCGCAACACTGAGGGTTGCGATCTGTTGCCGGACACAAAAAAAAGACAAAAAGGGAAAAAAAAAAAAAAAGAAATGATTGTAGAAAAGGAAGTACAGACTATTCTTTTGTTAATATAGAAGGAAAATGGGTGTGGGAGGCTGGAATCATAGTGGTGGTGAGGGGTTTTATTTTTTAAAATGATAGAGACTTGACCATGCCTATAGGTTGAGTAGGGAATGAGTTGGGAATGGCAGAGGAATGAGATGCAAAAGAAGGGATGAGTACAGTGCAGAGCTGCTATAGTGGAGTAAGAAAGCTAGAATGATAAGTTATTGGCAAGAGAGTTATATATTAAACTTTAGCATTTTAGTGGCAAAGCATTCTGGGAATTTTTTAATTGCTTTTTTTCTGGTGTGTTCATTGTTTGCTATGATGATTTTTTTCATTTATGTTTAATAAAGATGACCAGGATAAAAAGGTGGAAACTCTCATAGCACCTTCAAAAAAGCAAGAAGCATTACCCCTCCATCAAGAAACTAAACAAGAAGGTGGATCAGGAAAGAAGAAAGTTTCATCAAAGAAGCAAAAGACAGAAAATGGTGAAATATGTAGATATGTATTTTATAAATTCTAATTCTAGCTAGCACAAGGACCCTGGGGACCTCACATGCTCTTTAATTCCCAGTTTAATGTGTACTTTAACAACTGCAGTACTAATACAAGTCTAAAAATCTCTTTAGCCTTGTGGCTTTGTAGTGCTTTGACGAATGGGCAGAGTAAAAGTTTCTTTGAAATTTAATAAAAAGGATAAAGCATTTATAAATATTCTTATTCTTAACTCTGTTTTGAAGAAAAAAACATATAAACTGTATAGAAGAAAAATATTCCTGAAATATTTGTACTTTTTAATATCATTTGAAGATTATGTTTGAGGACATTAGCTAGATCTAGCATTACCCTTCCTTCCCAGTTATTTCCAACAGAATTTGCATGTGTATATGGTAAGCATCCTGTTAAAAGTGATGGAGCAGGGCTGAGCCCGTGGTGCACTCGGGAGAGTGTGGCGCTGGGAGCGCAGCAGCGCTCCTGTCGCGGGTTCGGATCCTATATAGGGATGGCTGGTACGATACGCTCACTGGCTGAGCGCGGTGCGGCCGGTCACACACACAAAAATAAAGGACAAAAAAAAAAAAGTGATGGAGCAATCTTAATGTGTTCACAAGTTTCAGAGAAAGCTTGGCTATGAAATTTGTGTAGATTAAACAACAGTAATTGCCAGATAATAGTGGGCTGTGATATAAACTGTGCTAGAAAATAATAAAATTGGAAAGGAAAAAGATGAAATTCTATTATTTGCATTAAATTATATCAATCAGGTATGAGAGAAATATTACCTGAATATATTTGATAAAATTAAGTATTATCGATTTTAAACAAAAGAAAACTGTATGTGCTCAAAAGCTCTTTTGTTAAAAGGTAGGAATATAGAGAGATTTCTCTTTGGGTATAGAAGTTTGTATCTCTAACCATCAGACATCAGGCTTAATGTTTATACTCTGAGTTCTTCCCATTAACATAAGAAACAAAATAAGGAGGCTTTCTTCTACTTTTAATGTTATTCTGGAAGTTTTGGTGAGTATAGTAAGATGTGCCAGGGAAATTAGAGACATAACTATTAGAAATGAGCAGGAACGGTAACTATGATTTTTGTACTTAGCAAGTGAAAAGAACTTAGTTAAAAATTGTCAGTTGCAGTAAGAATTCAGTGAAGTACCAACATAAATAAAAATTAATAGTTTTGGGCCGGCCCGGTGGCGCACTGGATAAGCGCGCCGCTTGGGAAGCGCGGCGGCGCTCCCGCCCGAGGGTTCGGATCCCACATACAGACCGGTTCCCACTCACTGGCTGAGCGAGGAGCGGACGCAGCACCAAGGGTTGCGGTCCCGTTGCCGGTCCCCGGTCCGGTACGGGGGCAACACTGAGGGTTGCGATCCGTTGCCGGACACGGAAAAAGACAAAAGACAAAAAAAATAAAAATAAAAAAAAAAATAATAGTTTTCCTTGAGCACTAATTAAATGTGGATGAATTCTTATGTTAAAACAAAAATAAGAACTAAAGGATGTGTAAGTAGTTTTCAGATACTGTTAGAGGAGATATGCTATATATACATTTTTAGATGACTTGAAGATTTACTATAAAATAATAATGAATTGATATTGTTCAGTTAGAGTGTTTTGACTTATTAAATGATGAATATGGAATTTAAGACCACATTGAGCTAGTATTAGAGATTTGAAAATAACTGCATTTATTATTAAATTTAACTGTGCTTGCATGATGTTTAATTACTCTGTTTTTTAAAACCCTGAGTAATTATGATTTTGTCAAACTTAAATTGCAGTCCTGGTAGATGAACCCCTTATTCATGCAACTACTTATATTCCTTTGATGGATTATGCTGATTCAAATCCTGTGGTGGATAAGAGAGAGGTTATTGATCTGATTAAACCTGACCAAGTAGAAGGGATCCACAAATCTGGGGCTAAAAAATTGAAGATTGAAACTGACAAAGGTAATGTTCAGAATGTTACAATCTGTTGTAAAAACTCATTTTTGAGTTTTGATGGAGTCAAGTATATTTTCTTATAGAAACAAATGTATTGCAGAAGACTTACAGGATTCTTGTAGTAAGACTTATTGGTAGACTTCTAGTCTGACCTCCTCAGTTTTATAGACCTGGATACTAGAATTTGACTTGCCCAAGGTCCAATAACTGTTTTGCTATCTGTTGATCTTTTCTCTGCTATTACAATCTCCTCTGAGATGTCTAGGCTAATTCACAACTGCCTTTTTTTTTTTCCTAATAAACTATTTTTTAGAGCTGTTTTGAGAGGAAAGTACTGAGGTCCCATATGCCCCCTGTCCCCACACATGCAGTCTTTAAAAACTGAGAATGTAGCTGAATTATTAAAAGCGCTAGGCCCCTTTGGGTCTGATGGGTGGCAGTTCTTTTAAGAAAAGGACATTTGTACCTAATGTGAGAGCCCTGGGGAATCAGAGTGGGTGAGTCAGGTGGTATAGATGCATGGATATTTTTAATGTCAGGATTGCTTATATATATATTTGATCTCTGTAGACTCAGATTTCCTTTTTATAATTATCATAGAGCTTTTTTTCTCATCTGTGGAATTTGGTTTTTATGTATCTCAGGATTATTGAAGTTAAATGAAAATATTGTGAACATATCTCATGCAGATACTAACATATACTAGATGCTTAAATGATTTTTTAAAGTGAGAGAATATTGACATTTCAGTATTCTGCAGTTTGAGCAAACTTTTAGTTAATATAATTTATTCCATATTATAGATAATAAACACTCTTTTCCCTCTTGATGGGAGCACTTATTGTTATTTGACCTGAAATGTAAATCTATTTTCAGTTGGTTATTGACTTTCTGGGCTAGGAATTCTTGATGCTTACCTTTGCTGAAATTATTACCTATGTCTTAAATGCCAACTTCTTCTTTTTTTTTTTATTAAGAAAATGCTGAAGTTAAATTTAAAGATTTTCTTCTGTCCTTGAAGAATATGATATTTTCCGAAGATGAGGCCCTTTGTGTTGTAGACCTGCTAAAGGAGAAGTCTGGTGTGATACAAGATGCTTTAAAGAAAGTAAGCATATTTTTTGATTATGGACATATTTGTGAGTAGTCATTAGAAGTGCACCAAACAAGACTTCTGCCAGAGCAATTTAATTATTTTCTGCTCCTATCCTTACTACTCCAAACCACATAGTCACATCTAAAAGTTCTGGAATGCCTTCAGAAGTTATTTCATATGTACATACTTATCAGTGCAGGTAGTTTAGTCAAGCATGTGTTGAGTCATCTGATGCTTTGACAAAGCCAGTAGCTTAAAATGAGCAAGATGATTTATATGATTTAAAAGTCATTTGGCACTTGGCTAAGATATACTATGCTTTGCTCTGACTAGAAATGTTGAAGTCAAGGTCTGGTGATTTCTGTATAGCATATATGGAATGTTTCTGTGACAAGATAGTGCCATTTGAAGAGCCTAGGAACCTTGTTGTTGTTTAGCGTGTGTATGTTTGTATGTGTGTAATATTATCCTTCTAAAATAAATGATAGCAGCGGCAGAACCACTGCTATGGCTGATTAAAAAAAAAAAAAAACTTGTAAAATAAAACCCCCAAAACAAACTCACATGGAGTTAACATCTATATTCATATGGGTTGTGCTTACTGTAATATCATGTGTACAATATCATACTGGGAAAGGCGACAAATTTTCAAGGGTTATTTATGTAAGATAAGTTGACATAGTGTCTGGTATTCGATATTAGATACTTGACAACTGTCCTTATTCTATAATCATGACATATACGTGCACACTCCCTTCCACCCCAACCACTTACCTGCTTTAAAACCTTGAGTAGTTTAGTTTTTTCTTAAAATGAAAACTGCTGTAGTTCAAGCCATCACCTCTCATCTGATTACCTGCAGTAGTCTCTGTATTGTTTCTGCTTTTCCTCTTAGCCTTCTAATCTGTTTTTCCCACGTAACTGCAAGGTTAATAAGGTTATATTACTTATTGCTTTAAAAACCCTTCAGTGTCTTTTTCTTTGCACTTAGAACATAATCCAAATTCCTTAATAGGCCTAAGTCTGCCTCTTTCTACAGCCTTGTCTAATGAAGTTTTTCTTGTTCCCTTACAACTTTTCACCCATACTAGGTCTTCTCTTGTTCTTCTATCGTACCAAACTTTTTTCTTACTAGCTGTCCTATCTCCTCCCTGCCACTCCCCACCCCACTTCAGTTTCTTCCCATGCCTAGTCTCTTCTTCAAGTCTTCACTTGAATATCATTTTCTCATATAAGATTAATCTGAATTGACAGTCTAAATTGTTCTCCCTGCTATGCTATTCTTTCTCATAACTATCTGCACTTTTTTGTCATAGCATTTATCATAGCGTTATAAGTCTGTCCGTACTTCCAAGTATCTACTGACAGTGTGTTTTACAGATCTGTGGCATTTTATAGTGTAGTGTGCTTATTAGACAGTCTCCATGCGTGCCAGTAATGGCCCAAAATAAACAAGATGTTTGAGGGTAATCAGAGTAAATATGTGATTTTGAATAGAAAGATTATTCCGTTGTAAGGAACTTTCTTGATATTCTTGATTGAAGAATTTGTCCCTTTATTATAATTGGGTAAGTACATATCTAAAAAGAATTCTTAGTTATTTGTGGGGATTGGGAAACTCTCCTAGTAGGGAAAACCCTCCAGCTGAAGTTACTATTTTACTACCTAGCTGTTTATAATTATTGCTTTTTAAAATTAGAAATAGTTGCTTTCAGTGTCTCTTTTTTGACTGAGATGTTAATGGTAGCTTATGAGGGCAAGAGTAGTCATTTTATTGTCTGAGAGTTTTAAACTAAAGACTGGATTGTAAATCAGACTACTCCTGATAATCTATTTTGGGAAGACCTAGGAAGAATTTGGAGACTGTTAAAGATAGTGTTTGAAGTAGAGCAACTGTTTGAACTCTTCACATTTTTCCCCCTTCCTTGAGCAATATGGTTTTGGATTAAAATCTTCTTGTTCTTTGTTTCTCATGGGATGGTTTTGTTCTGTACCGAAGGGACTCTGCCCTTGCAGGTTTCCTATATTTGAGAAAGACTACGTAAGTTTAATTTCTCCTTTTTCCTGCCACAGAAACTGAGTCTTGGTCAGACCTTTTAATAGATTTCAGAGGCCTAGATGTAAATTAATTCTCACCCTTAATAAAAACTTCTTTGGAGCAAGGGGGAAGATAAATGCAAGGGAAAGGTATAGGATAGAGAGAGGAGTTAGAGGACTTGCTGACCATTTATAGTGGCTAAAGAAGACTATAGGATGGCTGCTTGTTTTCTCTCTGGAGTAACTGGATAGATTGTGGTGATAATGGTATTTGTGAACACTGTAGAGGAAGAGAGTAGAGGATCACAAAATTTCAGGTTGTTTTAGGCATCCTTCGTAATTTAATTGTATATAATCATTTCACAGTTCAATATATATTTCTGTGGAGTTGATGGAAGGTTGCAATGGGAATGATTTAGGAAAGCGATCCACTATCGCCAGTACATATGGTGGATGTATATTAGATCAGGGAGGATGTGGAAAGAGAGAAAAAAGCTCAAGAATGAACTCTGAGAAACACCAACATTTAAAGGGTAAGGAAAGTCACCACAAAAGATACTGAAGAGGTCCAGAAGGAGGAGGAACACTAGGAGATAGTAGAATCATAAAAGCTCAGGGAGCATAGAGAGTTTGGGGGGGTAGGTGGAAAAGATCAACAGTGACATGCTTTAGAGAGGTCAAGGAAGATAAAGATTGAAAAACTGTTGGATATACTTAGTGAAAGTAGTTTCATTGTAGTACTAGACTGTAAATAAGTGACAAACGAATGGGAAAGGTGACAATGAGCGTCTCCTATGAATACGCTTTCATGGGAATGGGGAAAATAGAATAAAACCAAGAGGGGTTGCAGAGTTGGAGGGGAGAATTGAATTGTGTCCCCTCAAAGTTTAATATGTTGGAGGCTTGGTCCCCACTGTGAATGTGGGAAATCCTATTATGGTAATTGAAAGGTAGAACCTTGAAAAGGTGATTAGATTATGAAGACCCTGCCATAGTGACTGGTTTAATGGTGGTCATGGGCGTGGTTCTGAGGGCTTGAAAAGAAGAGCACACGAGAGGTTTGTCTCTCTGTTCCGCCATTTTCTGCCACATGAGACTCCAACCACCAAGGGCTTCACCAGATATGTTCCCTGGACTTTGGACTTCCCAGCCTTCAAAACTGTAAGCAATAAATTTCATTTACTTATGAATTACCCATTTCTAGGTATTATGTTATAAGCAACAGAAACGGACTAATACAGTAGGGTAAGATCTCAGGCTCTTAAGAGTCAGTTTGGGCTCTGCCAATTTGAGCTTCGTGGCCTTAGATAAGTTACTTAACTTCATTGCCTCAATTTCCCCATCTCTAGAATGGGAATGATTATCAGATTTTGAGGATTAAACAGGGTAATACATTTTTTTTTTTTTTGTCTTTTGTCTTTTTCTGTGTCCGGCAACGGATCGCAACCCTCAGTGTTGCCCCCGTACCGGACTGGGGACCGGCAATGGGATTGCAACCCTCGGTGCTGCCCCCGCGCCTCACTCAGCCAGTGAGTGGGAACCGGTCCATATGTGGGATCCGAACCCTCGGGCGGGAGCGCCGCCGTGCTTCCTAAGCGGCGCACTATGCAGTGCGCCACCGGGTCGGCCCGGGTAATACATTTTTGATGCTTAGAGTTCTTAGCATATAGTAACTGCTCAAAAATGTTAACTGTTTATGTGATTACTAGTAAAAAAATGTTTGATTTGATTATTACTAATTTTTTAGCATTGACCTTTTTATTTTTTATTTTTATCATTTTGGTGGCTCCCAGTGCAGGGAGCTGAACCCTTGACCGTGGTGTTCTAACACTGCCCTCTAACCACTTGAGCTAATCAGCTAGCCAGTGTTAACGTTTAAATATACTTGCCTCAATTATGATTTTTTTTTTCCTTTTTTGTCTTTTTTACTGACTGGTAATGGGATCGCAACCCTCGGTGTCGCCCCCGTACCGGACTGGGGACCGGCAAAGGGATTGCAACCCTCCGAGGTGCTC